ACATTCAGTCCTGGGTGTACAATCATATTCTAATTATATTGAAGAACCAAATGATGACAGTACAAAGAGAGGTTACAAGTGAAGTATCTCATCACTCTTTAGCTACTTAAGCCTTTTGTTAATGACTGAGATTAAGACAGAAGACTTTATGCATATAAAAGTCAATAAAACAAAGCTGAGAAGAATATGTTGACTAGGAAGGTTAGAAATAAAAGATTGAAGAAGACTACAGAAATGTTTCTTTTTAACGTATCATAGATGCAAAAATGGCAGAAAATTTAGCTAATTGATATTTACAGTAAACTAATGCTTAGTCTTAAACTTTGATTCTCAAGAGAGATAAGGACTAGAAAGACCTAGCAACCAGAAAGAACAGCAGCTCTTGTGAAAATAACTGGAGCATTTTATCCAATTGAAAATTCAGGATAGACCAGCATTGTTACTGTTAAATGCTTACTCTACATAATAAAAAAACTTGGTATGCTTATTTATAGTTTGAAAGCACTTTTTTTTAAAGTTGTGTTTCTTTTTTTTAAATACATTTTTATTGATTTCAGAGAGGAAGAGGGAGAGAAAGACAGAAACATCAGTGATGATGAGAGTCATCTATTGGCTGCCTCCTGCACACCCTGCACTGGGGATCGAGCCCATAACCCGGGCATGTGGTCTGACCAGCAATCAAATCAGTGACCTCTTGGTTCATGGGTCAGTGTTCAGTCACTGAGCCACACTGGTTAGGCCAGATTTCATTCTTCTTTATAGCCAAGTGGTACTCTCTCCTGTATATGTACCACAGCATTTTTAACACTATCTACTGATGGGCACTTGAGTCAATTTCATATGTTGGTTATTTTAAGTAATGTTGCAATAAATATAAGGGTACTTATATTCTTTCAAATTAGTGTTTTGGGTTTCTTCAGATATATATACCGAGACTTGGAATCACTGGGTCATAAGGCAATTCCATATTTAATTTTTTGAGGAGCCTCCACTTTGTTTTTTATTTTAGACTAGAGGCCCGGCGTACAAATTCAGGTACAGTCCCTAGGCCTGGCCTGTGATCAGGGCCATCTTCCCCAGCTGCCTGCAGCTGACCCCCCCCTCCCCCGCTGCCACCCACCCCTGGTTCCCTGTTCGCCATCAGGCGATTGGAGCCTGCCAGCTGTGGGGAGGGACCAAGAGGTCAGCTATTCTGCCTGCTCCCTGGCCCTGCCCCTCCCCCTAGTTCCCCATTTGCCATTGGGCAATTGGAGCCTGCTGGCCGGGGAAAGAGACCAAGAGGTGATCAGTGCGCCTCATAGTGACTGGCCATCCGAGGCTTGCCTGCGCCTTGGGCCAGCCTTGGGGGGCTGAGGGGCTGAGGGGACTGGGCCCCGCCATCTTGTGGCTGTAGGCACCTCCATCTTTGAGGGTGTGACCATTAGCATATTCCCTCCTTATTGGCTGTAGGAGCTGCCATCTTTGAGGGCGGGGCAGTAATTAGCATATTCCCTCCTTATTGGCTATGGGTGCCACCGTCTTTGCGACCGCGTGAGTGTCAATTAGCATATTCCTTCATTATTGGATAGGATATTTGTTAACAACAACACCCCACTTCCAGAAACCAAACTCTGTATTAGTTTTCAATTATTGTGAACAAAGCAACACAAATTTAATGACTTAAAATAGTAAACATTTGCTGTGTCACAACTTAGCTGGGTCATCTGCTCTTGGACTCACAATGCTGAAAGTAAAGTATCAGCTGGACTGTATTTTCAGTGGAGGCTTGAGTTGGGGGAAAAAATCTGCTTTCAAGCTCATTCACGTGTTAACATAAAAAACATTCAAACCTGTAAAGAGTTGTTTGTGAATTAACTGTCGACAATTGCCAGGAAGCAATATCTCAACGGATTGGGATAGTGCTCCAGAGAATGGCGGTTTCTCATCTATTTTTATACATTGCAACCAAAGGAGGGGACATAGGTGGGTTACATGAAAACCACTGGTGATAAATTAGAGAGGCTGGAGAAAGCAAAGCGGGGAAACTCCTAGGATTGGATAAAAAGTAAAATGATAGACACATACTTAGGTGGGTGCAGGAACGATTAACATGGTAACAATAAAGGAATTTGTGGTACCTGCCCTGGCACCCAGGCACATTAGGTTGTGCCCCAAGGGGTCCGGAAAAAGGGAAGTTATAAGTTGCCCAGACATTTCAAGGGTAGTTATTATAGATCAGCAGTTCTCAACCTTCTGGCCCTTTAAATACAGTTACTCATGTTGTGACCCAACCATAAAATTATTTTCGTTGCTACTTCATAACTGTAATGTTGCTACTGTTATGAATCGTAATGTAAATATCTGATATGCAGGATGGTCTTAGGCTGCCCCTGTGAAAGGGTCGTTTGACCGCCAAAGGGGTCGCGACCCACAGGTTGAGAAACGCTGTTATAGATGCAAAAAGATGGATACATTCAGTTAAGGTAAAGGTTGATCTTGTCATGAAGATACTGGCCTAGGATGTAACTGCCCACCATAACTGCTTTTAGTTAAAATTTAATTTCAGACCATCCTTTGTGGTTACTTTAGGTGTCTGAGTTTGCAAGACTGCCATGCAGGCCTCCCCTGAGCTTGTCAGGTTAGCATGTGGCCTCTTTCATCCACACAGGTTGTTAGTAAAACTCCTTTCCTTGCAGCTGCATGAATAAGGACCCCATCTTCTACCTGGCTGTGAGCTAGAGACCTCAGGTCTACATTAGTTCCTTGCCATATGGATCTCTCACAGGCTCTTTCTAAACAAAGCTTATTTCCTCAAGGCCAGCAGCAGAATCACATACAAGTTTGCTAAGATGAGTCTTGTATGACATAACGTAATCATGGGAGTGACATCCTGTCACCTTTGCCATATTCTGTTGATCAGAAGCAAGTCACAGCGGCCAGCATGACTCAGTGGTTGAGTGTCGACTTATGAACTAGGAGGTCACAGTTTGATTCTGGGTCCAGACACATGCCTGGGTTGCAGGCCCGATCCCCAGTAAGGGGCCGGCAAGAGGCAGCCAGTCAATGGTTCTTGCTCACCATTTCTATCTGTCCCTTTCTCTAAAAATTTTTTAAAAAGAAGTAACACAGATTCTGTCTACAACTAAGGGGAATACAAGAATGTGACTCATGGGAGTCACCTTAGTATAATGTACCTAGAAGGTATTACAAGAGGGTAGATCGTGTCCCCCAGAGTAATCAAGTGATAGTCCTTGGAAATTGTAGATGTTACCTTACCTGGGGGAACATTACAGTTGTAATTAAGATAGAAATCTTGAGATAAGGGGATTATCCTGGATTATCTGAGTGGGACTAATTGTAATTACTACGTGTATCCTTTTTTTAAAAATATATTTTATTGATTTCAGAGAGGAAGGGAAAGGTAGAGAGAGATGGAAACATCAGTGATGAGAAGGAATCATTGATCGGCTGCCTCCTGCACGCCCCCCCACTGGCGACCAAGCCTGCAACCCGGGCATATGCCCTTGACTGGAATCAAACCTGGGACCCTTGAGTCTGCAGGTTGATGCTCTATCCACTGAGCCAAACCGGCCAGGCCTACGTGTATCCTTTTAAGAAGGGGATAGAGAGCCCCGGCCAGTGTTTGTTAGTGATTAGAGTGGCAGCCGATGCACTGAAAGGTTCTCAGATTCTATTCCTGGTCCAGGGCACCAACCTGAGTTGTGGGCTTGCTCCCCGTCCCCAGACGGAGTTGGTGTGGAAGGCAACCCGTTGATATGTCTTTCACATTGATGTTTCTCTCTCTCTCCCTCCCTTCCACTCTCTCTGAAAAAGCAATGGAAAAAAATGTCCTCAGGTGAGGATTAAAAATAATAAAAGAAGGAGGTAGAGGGAGATTAGATACATACAAATGGAGGAAGGCCTTCTGAGGGCAGAGCAGAGAGAAATTCGATGTGGGTTTTGACTGAAGATTAAAATGGTGCAATCACAGCCAGGAATGCTGCCAGTCCACTAGAAGCTGAGAACAGATTCTCCCTTAGGGCCTCTCTCGGGAGCGTGGCCCTGCTCACACTCTCCTAGTAATTTCTGCCCAGTAATACTGATTTTGCTCTTCTGCCTCCAGAACTGTGAAAGACTAAATTTCTATTGTTTTAAGCCACCAAATTTGTGATAATTTGTTACAGCAGCCACACAAAACGAATACAGATGGGTATTAAGTGATATTTTAGTTTTGCTTTGTAAACTCGTTTTACTGGTTACTGAGGTTAAATATCATTTCATAAGATGATTGACTGTCCAGTTATTTTCTTCTATAACTTTTTCAACTCATGATTTTGTTTCTTTTTAAAAAAATCACTTTCTTATTGTTAGTAGGAATTCTTATTCTAACTACTAATCTTACTGAAGAGATGTTTATCTTATGTATATTATGGTGTCTTCTTCATTTAGAGGTTTCCTTTTTCACTTTATTTTAAATTATGGAATTTTTTTAAATACGCAAATGAAGACAGCATAACATGATCTATCTTCCATGTACCCATCACTCAGCCTCAGTAACTATCAGTATTTTCCCAGCAGTATTCATCTTTTCCTTTGATTTTTTGTACATTATCTAAGAATTGTGTTGCTGTTATTTAGGTGGCTATTATTGCCATGATAAAATAACCCTTCTTTTTGTTATAACACTTGTCCTTTGTTGCTTTTACATTTAGATAAATGTTACCTTACTTATAGCAATTTCTAATATATACAAAGCATTATCGCACCCACGTTAACCTATACCTTCTTTCCAAACACCTGGTACTTTTCTTATTCAGCACAAGCTATTGATTCAGATCTTGGTCATCAGCAAGTGTCCTAACATCTTATGTGGCCCTATATAGCTTGTTGAAATCCCAGGTGTCCTTATAAGAAGGCTGATCAATCATTGAGGAGATGTCAACATATAAGCCTGGGTTGCTGTGCTGGCATTTTTGTGTTTCCAAAGTAATTCCTCTCAAAACTTTTCCCCTTATTTTTAGTGTGCCACCTGGGCTTGAATGCATGAAAGAGCAAGACCTCTGCAACAAGATAATGGCTACAATACTAGAAAATTACAATACCCTGTTTGAAGTAGAACACACAGGAAATGATAACCAGAGTTGTGAAAACCCAACGAAGCTTATCATCGTAAAAGTAAGTTTGATATTTAGTGTTCAAGATTGCTGTATGTTGAGTGGAAGACATTTTATTTACATCATTGTTTTTCAAGAAAATCCCATTTGGATATAACTCCAGGTTATTATTCCTATGTTTATTTCATTCTTCTTATGATTCCTATTTTCTCTATCAAGCGTTTGTTAAGTAATATGTATTCTTCTAAGATTGAAGAAGAATTGTGAATTGGTGTTTCCTTGCTACTGTAAAATCATCTCAAAAGCACCTATGTGAGTCTAGTGCTGTGGTTGATTGTATGTACCACCTTTTTATGAAAGTCTGGCGTTACAGCAAAGATATGATACATGCTTATGTCTGTGTTCAGGAGTGCTAGCTTACTGAGTAAAATGCAAAATCCCTTCAGACAGAATTTCTATGTCTTTTTGTCACTCTTGTGTCTGGTACACTTTCAAGTTCAACCTCAGATTTTAACTCCCATATATGTAGTTATTGGTAACTATCATCAGTAAAGGAGAATATTTTGAAAACCTAAAAAGGAATTCTTGACATTTCTCCCTATATGTTTGTATACATTGGCTGATAATTTATAGCATATTCTTTACACATTAGGTAAATGCATGTAGGTCTCTAAAGATTTACAATTGAGGGTCAGAGGATAAATATCCAAACCAAATTTTCCAGATGAGGGAAAAAAGGAGACATTGCATTTCTTTTTCATTTATATTGAGGTAAAAGCATGATGGAACTGATAATGGAAGATTCCCTCAGGAGGTTTCCTGAAACTGACCAAATTTACAGACCTACTCTACTCTTGTTGATTCAATGCTAAGGAATGATTAGAGGTACTTGGTGTGGGTGTTGAAGGGGTGATTTCATCTCTTCTTCCATTTGAGGCATGACTGTGAAGAAGAAATAAAAGGTAATGGGTATCAGGTAGCACCCTATCAAAACAGCACAGGAAGACTAAAAGTAGGTTTTCTTAACTGGGGCTTATGCTCTTAATACTACAGACTCCTTATAACAGATAGAGTAATCTGAGAGAAATGCACTTAGCAGGAATCCTGCCAACCTAATAAAGAGAACTTTAAACTGAAATTTGAAGGAAGGGAAAAACAATGCTCAGATAAAATGAAATACTTTGGAGAATATCAGGTGTAATCTAAGGTAGAGGTAATATGGAAGCTGAGAAAATATCAGTGAATCAAAAGAGAAAAGGAGGGGGAAAAAGTCCTACTTATATCAGTCTGCTGCCAAAAAAAAAAAGGAAAGAAATTATTTTTTAAATAGAAAAGATTTACCTTAAATTTGTTTTTTCATTTCCACTGAGCCAAACCGGTTTCGGCAAGGGGTCTCTTTTTAAAATGTTGAAAAGTGATTGACTTTCTTCCAGCTATATCTTGGATGCTTTTTAATACTCATACCTTGTAAATAGGGCTGATAAAATAATAAGGTAATCTTCAATTATAATGAAAATAGATAAGCAGCACAAACTTGCTGAGATATAGATAATCTCTGGATTATGTCAACAGATTATATGTTGAGATATATGGAAGAGTGCCCTTGCTTGGAAATCCTTGCGTTTGTAGGTTTAAGCATGGTGGAGAACATAGCATGAGAGTACAGATTAAGACACATAAACTGATAATACTGTGGGACCCAAATACAGATAGATACCTTAGGTTGATGAATATGACTGCTATTCTCCTGATGCAAGTTTCAGATCTGGTCTAGAGGCAGACAGCTGTCACGATTAGAAACGACATGTGTATACTCTGGAATCATTCTGCTAAGGCAGAATATTTGATACTTTTTTAACTGATCTTGCTCAGAGTCTTATTTCTGAAAGGGTAGATAATGCAACAGGGGGATGAGATTTTATGGATTTAATTGTAACCAGTAAGGATGAAATAGAAGTTATGGGAATTATTTTAACAGGATGTGTCAGTGCCATTTTAGGGCCCCAGATCATGAAGAATATGCTAGCCACAGCTTGATATGTAAAACTGGCCATTGTTTAGAAAGCAGATTCTTTAAATTCCTAAGATCATAGTGAAACCAAAACATGGGATGTTGAGGCTGAGTTTGTTGTCTAGAGAAAACGAAGAATGAAGTCGCAGACGAAAACAGCGGATCAACATTTATTGAGAAAAGCCAGTCCTGGAAAAGGTCCAGGGCAGGCCAGTGTCCAGAGCTTACTTCGCATGTTACTGTCATGAGTAGTTCAGCATCCAAGCTATTAAAGTCTGTTATAGTCCATGGGTACTGGCCCACATGGCATAAGCCACATGGGCACGGGGATGTGCTCCCCCACAACAGGAATGTCAGGTATCCATTGTGGCTATGCAGGGGGAGAGAAGAAGGGAGGAAGCACACACACCTTTTTGTACATATGCTTCTTAGTTCCTGATTGGTCCTTTCATACATTTTAAAGCTCATGCCCCTCCTTCCCCGCCCAGTTGGGTTCCCTCATTCTCCTGTCTCCGCCCCCATGGTGCCGCCCCATCTACCTCGCTGCTTCTGTCTCCTCAGTAGTAACAGATATAAACCAAGAGAAGGTAGATTAAAAAGGAATTGGAGGCTCACAATGAAATCATTAACACACTGAAAAGCAGTAAAAATGAAAGGGCAACTAAAAAATGTTATTATTCCGATTGTTCTCATGAGTTCAGCTCTTAGAGAATGTGTACAAAAAAAGGAAACAGGCACAAAGCAAGTGAAAAAAAATACACAAGAGTGGCAGAGATAGAAATGTTTGAGCTGAGACTGAGGTATAAAACGGGGAAAGGCATTTTTAATGGGGAAGGTACTAACTGTGCCCACTGACACACCTTTGTGTACCCCAGTATAGGAAACAGAGGCAGTGTTGAATGACATTTTTCATGATATTTTTTGTGGACTAAAGGGAGATTTGGGGCGCAGACAACTATAAATTTGATTGTATTTGGACTTGGATCAAGAACTTTGACCACAGCATTGGAATGTGGATTGGTGTTTTAACTTCAGGGAAGGTTTCTACATTTGTTTGTGTCATCAGTACTTTAATCATTGACTTGAATGAGCATATTTGCATGTGAAATAAAGCTGGAGGGGCGGAAGTAGGGTGGAGGGGGGTCAATGGGAGGAAAAGGGGGTACATCTGTAATACTTTCAACAAGAAAGATACTTTTTTTTAGAAAGATACTTTTTTTTTAAGTTGGAAGAATATAGGTCAGATGTTGGATGTCTACATGTATAGAGTAACAAAATGGTATTGTTATATTGTAAATCAGAAGACGCCTTAATCAATAAGCCAAATTTATTTGTAGTCCTGTTCATTTTCGCTAGCACTAGCGGGCCCAGAGGAGCTCTTGCTTCTCAAATTCTGGGGCCCAATATGGTGGAAGTCTTTTCAATTCATATGTTTTTCAGCTCTTTGTTTTCCAAATTTGGAATGAGACTTCCGGACCTTCTGAGAAAAAGTCCTGATTGCTGGGACAAGGGCCGCGAGACCATATATTTGGAATGAGACTTCCGGACCTTCTGAGAAAAAGTCCTGATTGCTGGGACAAGGGCCGCGAGACCATATCTCAAGGCCTGGCCTGGTGCCAGCACTGACAACTCTGTCTGGGGCATATTTTATGGCCTCTCTGGAATGAGGAGTAGTCTTATTTTTCCTATTAAGCAAGAAAATGTTTACAGAGTAGCAGGGTTAAAATTTTAAACAGCAGTTTTTACCCAAGATGGAGGTTACTATGCTTCAGTACGTGTGTAGTGCATGTGTTTGCGCACACACAGCTATTTCCCTCTAGCTTCAAAACAATACAAAACACACACAAACACCATTTTATTTGGACCTGAAGCTAAGTGCTGGGGTCAGATGGGCCCCTCCCTCTGACCCAAGGGATGGATGAATCATAAATGGTCTTAAATAGGGTGGTATTATAATCACTCTTTAGTTACTGATTGACTAAAGGTCAGAAGAGACATTTTACCTTACATGAAGAGGTAGAGGGCCTCTAGGAAAAATTTTCATCTCTGATAACAAAAAAACAAGAATGGTTTATGAGATAAGAGCTGTAGTTACCTCTGGGTGCAGTTAAGGGTGGTGGCAGTGGTGATGATGAATCCAGAAAGTGCTCTAGGGAGCTCTCTGTGGTTACGAAAATGTACTATATATCCCAATAGGGATGTGCGTTATGTGGGTGTACGCATTTGTCAAAACTCCTTCAGCTGTGCAGTTATGATTTATATATTTTACTATACGTAAATTAATTTTAATTTAGGAAAGAGAGAAGAGAGTAGGCCTCTGAATCAGAATGCCCACCTCTCCCATCTGTTTTTGGATGTTTTCATGCCCGGGGCTGCTGCCACCATCTTTTGTCTTTGAGGCATGAATGCATGCGGATACAGGGGTTGGCAACTAAAGAAGGGAA